GGGGCCGGTGGCTGCGGGGAGCGGTTAATGGAGGCAGGAAGGCAGGGGAAGCTCGGGGACCGTGACGTTAAAAACCTCCGCGGCGCCGTGAGCCCGAACGGGCTGCGTGGAAGGGAAGGCCTCGGGGAGACACCGGGACGCGGCGCTGCCCGGGGGGCTCCGTGCGGTGCCCGGGGTCGGGGTGGCACAGGGGAGAGCCGGTGTCTGCTGGGAGAAACCGGGAGGAGCGGATCCAGGGAGGTGCAGGGGTTGCTGGCTTACGGCTGGGGCCGTGTTACCCGTGTATTCCCCTCGCCCCCCCCGGTGCCGGTTCGGTTGCAGGTCCAGTGGTTTGGTGGGAAGGCTGAGGAGCAGGAGGGGGTGGGTGCAGGTGGACGTGGTGGTCTTGCAGGGAAAGAACAGATCTTAGACACACACACAGAAAAAAAAATGGCTTGGGAAAAGGCAGGGAGGCGTTCTGGAAGTAAGGAAAACTGGGTGGAAGAGGTAGGGCTCTGAGAGGTGATGAATGGCGAAGGAGGAAGAGCAGCGGAGGTGAAAGGGTTGGGAGAAGTGTCTGGGAAGTGAAGATGCTGGCCTGGAGAGACCTGGCCCCAAGGATGGGGCTGATGTCATAGCTGTAGTGCCAGCCCAGAGGGAGAATGTGAGGAGTGAAACAGGGAATCAATAGGTGCTTTTACATCGATGATCAAAGGGCTGCTTATCCAGGAGGAGAGCGAAATCCCAGTGATCAGGATAGACAGTGAGGGGCTTAAATGTCCAGACAGGAAAAGAAAAGGATTTGGATTAATACAGTGAGTGCCATAACCTTAAACATGCTGGCTCCTTAAACATGCTGGCTCCTTTTAAATAATTTATATTAATTATGGGCATTTATATCTGTTTTGCTTTTATTGTTCATTATTTATGCTGCTGGTTCACTTTGGTGCTCCAACAGTAAAAAGCACTAGGCAGTTTCACTTTTGTTTCCAATCCCTTTCCCTCCTTGGCTCTCAGGTACTTTAGTGAGATCATAATGTTTGGGTTGCAAAAGGTGCAGGGAAGTGTTTCACTCAAAACAAACTGTATTAACTGACTTCTTCAAATGTCATGGAAACACTTCTCAGACGAACAGGCTTTGCAGCGTTTTTACTTCCCTCCCCCTGAATTCTATAAATGCCTTCTGAAATCCCTCAAGGATAACATGTAGCACTTTTACATTTTGGACAAGACAGTTTCTCCACCTTAATAGATGAGTTACTAGAATGCTAGTTGCCATCAACAGCGTTTGTAGTGATTGTGAAAAAAAGCACGGGAAGGAAAAGGAAATGAGTTAACAAAGGAAACACTATCAGGTGATGTTACTAAGAGCTCCTTACTTCACTAGGACTGGAGTTCAGGGGAACTTTTTCCAATTTCGCAAGCAGAAAATAACAGCTAAATTATTCTAGTTTAGGTTCTTACTTGCAGTGGGACAATCAACATGGGTGTTTTTTGTACAGAATTATTGACTGAAATTCTGGAAGCCTGAATTAGCAGTGTTAAGAAGTTGCTGCAGAATTACCGTGCTGGGATATGAAAGCAAAGATTCATTACTTATAATTGCTCTCAGCAACAGAATATTGTTATTTTCAAAGAGTGGGGCTTAGAAGCTGCTCAGTTCTTCTGCTGTGCACACGGTTGGGTGCGTGGTTTGTCTGTGTCATCAGAAGCACAGTGCTAATGTCTTCTGTGGTCTGACAGCTGAAATCAGATTGATCATAGTCACGTTACTATAGATAGAACTAAAATAATTGGAAACTTTAGCTACCTTTGTACTGAGAAGTTTCTTTGAGCCACCAAGTAAACTGTTACTAGAACAACTGCATAAACTGTTACTAGAATTTAGGAAGTGTTGTTTCTCGAGTGCCATTTTAATTTCTACAATTGTCTCTCTTCCAGGAGACCTGATGGAAGGAGAGCTTTATTCTGCTCTCAAGGAGGAAGAGGCCTCTGAATCAGTTTCCAGTACAAACTTCAGTGGTGAAATGCACTTCTATGAGCTTGTAGAAGACACAAAAGATGGGATCTGGCTGGTACAGGTATAGAAATTTGGTAATTTATTTTTATGCGTTTATCGTATCCAAATGGTTTCAAAGGCAGAGTTTATGTGAATAGTTAATTAGTAGTAAAACCGTTTAACAGAGAGCTGGTGACAAAGATAAACTACATCAGGGACATCATAAGGAATAAGTCTGCTCAAAAAACTGAGAAAGGCTGCAAGTGACAGAGTTCCTATACAGCCATTAAGGGAAAAAAAACCCAAACAAACACCAAACTTACTCTGGATTGCTTTTTGAAAACCAGGTGCTTCTGAAACAGAAGACAAGCAAAGCAGCACACAGTTAGGTACACGGGCTATGCAAGCACTTGGTCCTGCTATTGTAAGAGCTTGTGTAATGTGTGAAGTAGGTGTATTAGGTGTAAATGCTCCCAGCTGGCCTAGGAAACCGTGCCTCTGGTGTTGCTCTTCCTTTTGGCTGCATTACATGCTCAGACCCAACCAATTTAAGTTTTTGTTTATCTAAAGGGCTTAGAGCACTTTTAAAATCTCTATTGCCCCTTCATAAAGGCAAGATCTCTGTGTGCTGCTTCCCAGGCTGGCTGGCTGGCTGCTTCTACAGTGTATCTGAAGTAGTTTAAAGTTCATCTTCCCCCCATACCTTGAGAGTCCACTAATTTCTAGAGTGTGCTTCCCCAGGGCTGCATGAGAATAAGAGAGGACACTTAGGAAAGGGAAGAGAGATGTTTGCAAATAGGAGTCTGAAACAATTTATCATCACTCTTGGGAACATAAGTAATTAGACCAAAATGTAAAAATGCATTGCAGCATCAACTTCTCTACTGATATTTTTCTAAAGCATTAAGTTTCCTGCTAACACGGGGCAATCAAAATTATCCACCAGACAATTAATTCTTCGGTTGACCACTCTCCTGCCTGCTTTGTCTGGTCTCCTCACTTTGTGTTTCCTATTTAAATAGATTATCAAGATTTAATAACTTCCTGTTGTTAGACCTGCACTGTCACCACATCAGAGCTCACAGACAATGAGAGAACAGATTACCTTCACAGCCAAAAATGGCCTTTGTGTTTTGGGAGAGATCTATTTGGCATTTATTGAATCAAAGTTTCAGGTTTAAATCATGCAGAAGGGGATTCTTCAAGCCGAGGGAGAGAGGTGAGATGGAGTTCACACATCTCCAAGCTAGCTGACAAATACAAGCATGAATATGCTGTGAAATACCTCCCTCCTCCTTGTGCAGCTCCAAAGAGTACAGTGTGGTAGTTCTTTGTTGTCTGTTGCTTGCAGAATTTTAATCATAGTATATTTTCAGCTAGCTTCATAATAGCAGATCAGATCGGCTGTGTTTTGATATCTCTAGTGTGATTAATGTTGTCATCATTCTGGGAATATTTGCACAGCTATTCAGTTGGTCACAATAGCTGTGGAAAAAAAGATTAGTGGAATTTACTGAATAATTTACTCGCTGAATGCTGTTTGTCTGTTTCTCCACAATAAAAACCACTAGACATGTCAAATTTATTTATTTATTTTCATTCTTGCCTTTTTGAGTTTTCATCACTTGGAGTTTTCATTTGCTCCCTTCCTCACCATAACTCCTGAGCTGGATCCTTCGTGTCCTTTCATAGATGTTTCCCATGCTCTCTTCTCTTTCATCCCTGCAGAGCTGTTTTTTATCATCACTTCCCTGTTCCAATTATTGATTACCCTCCCTTGCCCATTCTCTTTTACAGCTAGGCTTCCCCTGGAAACTTTACAGCTAATTAATCAGCTTGATGCTTTGGCAGGGGACAGTAGAAAAGTGAGGATGCCTCGTGGGTGGGTTTGGTGACCACAGCCAAGGTTGGAGCATTCCCCTCCTCTGTTGTTGCTACTGGCTGGGAAGCAGAAAGGATCTCCAGATCCTTTTCAGGATGCTGACCCTGAATCTCTGTTCCACGGGGGCTGCTGGAAAGCAGTGGTGTGAGAGGAACAGTTCTGGCTCAGGTAGCACAGTGGCTGTTGGTTGAGTTGGTTTTGAAGACTTTGTGGAGATGTATGGGAGGAGGAGCACTCTGAAGGTGATTTTTATTTGCCAGTGCATGTAAATGAAATTTCTGGGGTGGCACAAGCTGTTGCTTGTCTGCTGACAATAAAAGGAAAAGGAGGAAAATTATTATTATTATTATTATTATTTCTTGAAACAAATTTGGGTGTGAATTTACCATTTGGAGCCAGCAAGATTAATTCCTTGAAGAAAGTCAAATGGTTGCTGCATGCTTTTCAAATTCTGGTTTTAGTAGATGTTTCTTGTCTGCTGACAATAAAAGCATAAGGATCAAAATTATTATTATTATTATTATTATTTCTTGAAACAAATTTGGGTGTGAATTTACCATTTGGAGCCAGCAAGATTAATTCCTTGAAGAAAGTCAAAGTCCATGCACAAGGAAATGGTGTTTTGTGGTTTTGTTTCCTTGTTTTCTGGAAATCAACATGCAAACCATCCTGGTTCAGTGGTGATTTGTTTCCCTGTGTGACTGTTCATAGGCATCCTCTGCTCCTATATGGAGCTTCCATAGAGTCACAGACAGCATAGTGTGGTTCTCTCCTATTAGCTCATGATCTCATCACCTTTCCTTTTATGCCTTTCTTCCTGCTTGCCAGCTGCTGCTGTGCACTGCTTTGCCTGGCAAGGGGGATGAGTGGTAGTTGCTAGAGCTGCTTCTCCTGTTGGTAGGGGAGCAGCATGTAACGTTGTTGTTTTTGCAGCCTGCTGTTGCTCATGCTCTGTTGTGAGTCCTGAGAAGCCTGTCACATCAACCATATCATAGTGGTTATGACTTTCTTCTAAAACACGCAGTAAATGATCTACAGGTTAAAAATCCTCTTTGAACAAAGAGTGAAACCAACGTTTTGATCATCTCTGGTAGAGGTGCAGGGGACATAAAAATCTTTCAGTCTATTCTGCATCTCAGCTTCTTGTTCAAGGGGCATAGTCACAGAGCAAGGGATGTGCCTACAGGGTTTTGGTGGTGATTTGTTCTTTCTCTTTGTGGGATGGCTGATTTTTGTATTTGTCATTTTAATTTTACCAGGTGATCAGTTGTTCTCACTGCAAGGAAATTAAACAGAAACACTCAATCCTCTTAACATACACGTAGTTCAGTGTTCTTGTCTTTTCTGGTAGCCCTTCAGGATGATTTACTACAGGATATCTGATTTTAACTTTCAGCATCCTTCTTGAGTCTGCATATCCAGTCAAGGGTGCAGAATGCCATCAGCTAGAATGTAATACTTCTCATATTGCCAGCATATCCATGTGAATTCATTAGAGAAGCTCATTTTTTCTCAACCTCTGGCTTAACTGACAGCTTAACTGAGCTGTTCAGATTGGTGCACAGATCACCCCACCTCCCTTGAGAAACAACATGCAATTTTAAGGTGGTTAATTTTTACATGCTGTGATGGATGTAGTCTTCTGTCTTTGCCTATTTTGATCTAATTTATCACGGTCTCTTTCTCAGAAAAGCACAACAAAAACATCTCCAGACTTTTTATCCATATGGATAGATTCTGAAGCAGTTGTGAATTCTTAGGAAAGAGCAACTATGTGGAAATTCAGTTTCTTTAGCACAATGCTGATTAATAAACAGAGAGTGAGATATCTCAGAATTAATAAAAGTACAGACAGTCATGCAGAAACTTACTCATGTTAGCTGGAATAAGCTTTTTTCCATGCTTCTAATAAATAACCCACTGTGCATTTGTAATTAATTGTATTTCTAAGTGAGACTTGTCAAAATATTTTTACTTCTGTTTTATCTGTGAGAGGATAGTTTGCAAGATGGTTGTTGATTACAAAGGGTTCTATGAAAAGGACATTAGAAGCCTAAATAGGAGACCAGGATTCTTGAACCTTTGTACCTTTATGGATCCCTAAAAAAACTTCCAGTGAGTGCATGAACTCTTGACAGTAGTATCAGGCTTTGCTCATGTACCTTCTGCAGGCACTGTGGAGGAGTTCCTTGAACTCTAGGGGTATGGATATCCCAAACTATAAAGTGCCAAACCATAGTGACAATTCTCACCTATATACAACATTACCAGTTCATTAAATAAGGTAGAAATCAGTTTTTTTCTGAGTCATATGTCAGTAATGCAGAGACTGACTTACTGAGGCTAGGTGTGGAATGACTGTTCCCCAGAGAAACTACCTGTATGTGTGTGTGTGCAGCAGGAAATGGTGCCCCTTATTTAATAGGTTTTGTTGTTCCTGATGTCACAGTGCCCTATTGCCCAGAGCTGATGAGCATTCTCTGTGGTTAAGCTGTAAAACCAAGTTTTGATTATTCATGTGTATTCAAAATTTTGTGCCCTTGGTATGAGCAGGTGTGCCTGCCACCTGGTATCCTGGCTAAATTCCAGCTTAGATAATGCCTGAGCTTTCCTTGGCACTTCCACTTGGATACAGTTTTGTTTTCCTTTCATGGCACATGCTCCTATCCTGTAAAGGCTGAAAATGCTGCCAATGTGACTGTTTTTCCATCACAAAAAATTATGTATGTATAAAACACATGTGCATTACTTAACTCAGAGCTTCTGCTGTATTGTGATGATCTCACAATTGTTACTTTCTCCTTTGAGTTCTTTTTTTAGTGTTGTTCTCATCCCTGGCACAATGTAATAAACACAAATGGAATGACTCTTAATCAGACTAGCAAGGCACAAGTGCTGTTGAACGAGCAGAGTAGACAATTCATCAGGATGTTTTTCCCTTTAATACTGCTGAGGTTACTTTAGGTTCCTGAGGCTGTTAGAAGCACTAATAACTAGTTTAAGGGCTGGTTTTAAAATGTCCACATAAAAAAGAACAATCTCTCAAGGGTGTTGGGGTTCTGTAGGAAGTTATCCTTGCATATGCTGGGGTCTGCAAAGTGTTCGGGTTGCTGCAAGTTGCTGGAGTGGAGGCAACTATTTAAGAGTGTTGTTTCTGATCTGGACAGTCTAGCTGGTCTTGTGCACAGAACATTATTCCC